CGAGCAGCGGGCGGGTCAGGAGAGGTCTGCCACGCCATGTGGTCACCTCCGGGGCAGGCGGGAATCGAACTCATGCGGAAGCGTCTTTAGATTCTCAGTGCTGTGCTTTAACCCGCTGCGCCACCAGGGAGGGCCCAACATATATTTCTTAAAGATTTATTTATTTATGCTTACAGAACTGGGGTATAGGCCAGAGGTGTGGTGGGTGAGAGGATTCACCAGAGGCAGAGTGGGAAGCAGAACAGGATGATTGACAAAGTACACTGATGAGGGAAGCAGCGGGGGGGGGTCAGGAGAGGTCTGCACATGTGGGTCAGCCCCCTGACCGGGAATCAAACTCCTAGAGCCGCAGTGGCTTCGAAGAGCTTCACAATGCAGTGTTTTAACCCACTGTGCCACCAGGGAGGGCCCACATTAAACATATTTGACATTAAAAATAATCCACCCTTAGGGGTGTGGCTTTGAGACTGCGAATGATACCCTGAGGCGGACTTGCCTGCTCCCTTTCTGAAATACAGACGTGAGGGAAGCGTCTGGTCTGGATTGAGTTTAGGGAGGGTACCATGAACCAGCGTCCTGATGAGTTTATTTCCTGAAATAAATGATGAAAGGTGGCAAAGCCATTCCCCGAGCAGGATTGCAGCAGCACGATGAGAAGCTGGGCCACTTGATGTGTGAAACCAAAGCCAGAACTGATTAAGGAGAAGTCTCTTGGGTGCTGGGCGGGACAGTGTCTTCTGCCCATCTTTATTTCAGCTCATACCTGCAGCCCAGGAGAAGAAGCAGATACTCACTGCAGAGGCTTTCTGGCTGAGCTGAGTAAACCTTTATCTAAGGGCCTACTGAGACTTTTTTCAGCTCTTATACTGGAACTTTAAATTGTCTCCTTTCTTCATCCCTACTCATGTGCCTGGTTTAATTAATTGTGTGTATGACAAAGTGAGTCTTTTGACTGGAATAAGGAGATAATTCTTTCTGCCATCAATTTCTTTGCCAGTTGATCTACTTTTCACCTAAAGTTCCAGAAAGAATCCCAAAGCTGAAGCCCTAGTAGCATTTTGTCTCCTTCAACTTTGTTTCAAAGGCAAACAGTGTCACTCTTGGAGGTTTGTCAAGAAGTACAGGTCTGTGTTTTGTGGACTGTTCACAGGGTAGGAAAGCCCTCCTGAAAAATGAGTTACAAGACTTCAGTTTACAGGCCTGTAGCACATGAAAATTGGTTCTTTTTTATCTCATCTCTGCTAATTACTAAGTCTAGTAGAGAAGGACTAGTGGTTTATGGCAAGGGAATTTCATTCAGCAAACATTTATTAAGCATGCACTGTGAGCGACTAAGGAGTGGTACAAATTCTCTAGCTACTATCCATTGCTGGTAATGATGTTGGTTCTAGTAAATCCAATGGAATCCAATGTAAATGGATCTGATTACACTGAACATCCAGGCATTGGAACTCATGAGAGGGTGAAAGGAGCTCAGTGTTTCACCCGAGCCTGTGCTTACTGGCCCTGTGACCTTGGCACGTTCCTTCACTATGCTGGTTCCATCTGCTGTCTGCCAGGACTGTCGTGGGGAAGGTAGGTGGCGCGCAGGCGGTGTCTTGGCCAGTGCCAAGCTACCCTGGTCTGTCTCACTGCCCACATCTGGTCCTCTGCATTCAGAGGAAGCATGAGCAGACAAGAATACAATGTGGCAGTGGGCAAACAGCTAGGAAAATAAGTAAATCCCGTGAAAAGATCTGAGTATAGGGAAAGATTGAATGGTTTTTAATCCACGTGTAATAAAAAGGGGAAAGCTCTTATCTGTACATGTATTAGCCTATATTTCACTCATAGATAAAAGTACTTTGATTACTTATGTGACCAGGAATTGATACAAATTCATGGAAGCATCTTTAACACTAAGAATCAAAGGAGTTTAAATGTCTGACTATAGAACACAACTCTGGGTTGGGGCCTCTCTCAGACTTCTGTCCTGTGGAGCAGTGGGCCGCCAGCCTGTGTGCACCCTTCTGTTGAGGTGGGGCAGATCCCCCACTTCAGACAAGGTCTCCCTCCACGTTGGTGCCCCAGGCAGCTTCAAGGGCTGATGGAATAACAGCCTCTATCCTGCCCTGGTGCAGGTCCTTACTAGGTTCTGGAAGAAAGAGCGGAGAGCAGGGCTTTCGGGCAGCAGACTGCTCACTTCTGGCCCTTTCATCAGCTCACCCCTGCTTCTCTTCCCAGATGGTCACCCTCGTGTCACCGCTGAGCAGCGAAGTTAACAAATGTTTTAATTTCACTGCTGAGCAATTCTGCAGAGAGGGAGACAGCAGAGAAGATAATGAGAAGTGCGTCGGATGCTACCATTGATGAAAACTTCCCTTCCCCACTGGCTCAAATGATAATGCCAGATAAATTGGAAACTGAGAGGCGGATTTGGGATAGTCAGAGAGCTTGGAGTGCACAAAAGCCGACCTAGGCTAGAATGAGATCGCTATCTGCTGTATCAATTAAAATGCACGGGGAGAAAGGAAAGGGAAATAAAGAGAAAGAAACATGTTTGTTAAGGGCATTAGCAAGGAGCTGGTCTGCACCAGTTATTTATTGCTGTGTAGCAATTTACTTAGTATCTTAAAAGAAACATTTGTCACCCCCAAGGGTTGTGGGGGCCAGAAGTCCAGGCATAGCTTAGTTGAGTCTCTGGCTCAGGGTCCCTCGCAGGGCTGCAGACATCTGGAGGCTCAGCTGGGGAAGTGTCTCTCCTAAGCTCGCTCATGACTGTTGGCAGGCTTCAGAAGATCTACTTCCAAGCTCACTGACTGTCGGCCAGAGACATGAGTTCTTTGCCACATGGACCTCTCTATAGGGCATTTCACAACATGGCAGCTTGCATCCCCCGGAGCAAAGACAGGGGGCTGTGGAGGTGAGGGGCGGGAATAGTGAGTGGAAGTCACAGTGACCTAACTCTAGAGGTGGCAGCCCACCATTGTGCCGTATTCTCTGCCTTGCAGGCAGGGGTGTGGGGAGCCATTTTAGAGGCCACCTTCCTCAGGCCCCACTCTCAGGGGAAGACACTCTCCAAGGATGTTAGGGCAGCCAGCAAAAGCATGAAAGGTTGAATAAATGAGGCCAAAGGAGGTTAAGCATCCAGCTGGTACTTTAGCTCGTGTTATTTTTTAAATAGGGGCAAAAATGAGTTATCTTAGGTTCCTGGAAGTTACTCTAGTAAAACCTTAGTGGGGATTACTAAACTGTTTTATTATCTAAGTTTAACTTTTGGAGTTGACTGAAATACCTAGATTTTTTTTTTTTTTTAATTAGCTTTAGACAGCCGTTCTGTGATCTGTCATGATCTGTTCAGGCTGTACCGAGCAAAGCAAATAAGCTAAAGCCAAGTCAAGGAACACAAAGTCCAATTCATTTATAATTCCTATTAGTTTGGTTGAAGGGGAGAGAGATAAAATCTGCAAATCAACTTTTAACATATGATTACTACCAGAATTTATAGTAACTATTTAGCTGAACTTTGGAAGTATGACATCCCTTCCTGGAGAGAGGAGGGAAACGGGTGTGTGTGTGTGTGTGTGTGTGTGTGTGTGTGTGTGTGTGTGTGTGTGTGTGTGTGTGTACAGAAAACCTTAACATTTTACTCATTAAAGAATCTCATGAGAAAATGCTTATTTTCAGTAGTTTTTCCTTCTTGTATATTTAGAATTGACAATAAAAATGTCAAAGATAAGCTATAGTTTTGCCAGGCAGAAATATAGGCTGTGTACATGAAATCAAGTTTTTCTTACCATACTTTTTTTTCAAATAAGTTCATCATTTCTAAAATAACCATCTTAATTTCGCCTTCCCGCGGGCATTCCTTCCTCTTGGGTGAGAGATGCATTGTCAGACCAGAGGAAAGAATGCTAATTTTGCCCCCCACTGGAGTGGTTGACACTAATATTTAGGTTCAGAAGAGTCAAGATGGTATGTTGGGGTCAGATGCATGGTGCTGAGGCCTCTGGAGCAGCAGCTGTGTGCCCAGGGCTTCCCCCGGAAGCATGGTGTTCATGAGCCAGAAAGTGCCACAGAAAGGTCGTGTTGGTGGAATCAAATTGTTGAGGACCTTACTTGCCAAATCCAAGGAGCACAGGGTTCTTGTGGCTGGCTAATATCTTTCTGGGCATTTCTGTTCTGTAGGCCATAATGGGGTGTCTTGAGGGTGAAGGAGGACCTTCCACATTCCAAAGAATCCTGGATAAAGTAAGAGAGGAGAGCCTGGATGTTCAGACTGTTGTGTCACTGTTGAGGCTGTACCAAGATTCGAATTCCTCGGTGAAGAGGGCACTGGTAGACAGGAAACTGGAAGGTGTGGAGGCAGAGCCGTCGAAAGGTAGGCAAGACTCCATCCATCCATTTGAGTTTTATTCTGGGAAGCTTGTTCCAGCGATACATTTCTTTAGTGGTTTAGTCACTGTTCCATGGTTTCACGTAAATTCTGCATGTGTTTCCAGAGGACGCATGTTAAATAATACTGACTTAATCTGATGCTCCATTTCTACCTGCTAGTTACCTGTCTTTACCTAGATGCTGGAGAATACCGTCAGTGTTCTCCTGCCCTTCAGGAAGCCACACATCCAAATCAACGTTTTGTGTGCCGGAGGTGAACGGGTTCACGCTTAAAGGCTGCAGTTTCTCTCATTTGGGTTAGGTACAAAGCAGTGGCCTTGCCAACCAGAAGTTAACCTCTGGCGGGCTCTGAAGCTTTGTATTTCGACAGATAAATGAAACATTTTTCTTTTCATAGAGTTTAAACAGAATAATAAAGTATTTTCCTCTCTAAAAGGAGATTCTGCGTTCGAGTGCTCAGAATAGGCTGAGAATCACTTTACAATTCTGTTAGATCTCTCTTGACAAACCACACTGTCGTTTTCTTCAAATTGACTAGTTTCTCTTGTGTATCTCTCACTCTTGCCCCCAGGGAGCACAGAGGAGGGAAAGACCTTGTCTGTTCTGTTACTAGAACACAAAGAGGACCTGATCCAGTGTGTAACACAGCTGAGACCTATTACGGAGTTCCTGGAAACTGCCAAGGAGGAATTCCTGACTGGCACCGAGAAAAAGGTAGCTGAGTAGAGTGTCTCTGCCTCCCTTCTGAATTCACAGAGCACCATTTAAAAGCCTCCTCGTGGCATATAGCGCTTTCAGGCTCACAGTCCTCGTGTGCAAAGCATAGTAAGCGCCTTTAAGTTCAGGGACTTGTTTCCTGCCTCCTCTGTATCCCCTGTAGCAGCTTAGTGAGGGCCTTACATATTGTCCTTGTACATTAGCTGTGTAGATGTGGGGAGGGTGGGCTGGGCAGATTTCCAGATATTTGAAGGATAAATATGTGATAGTCCTGATCTGACTCTATTTTTAATGAAAAACGGTTGCCCCAAGAGTTAAAATGTTAAAGTATATTTGTCATTACTGAGACATTTTCCCTCTCTCAAAATGACACACTGTTCTGTAGAAAATTGGGAAAACAGGGAAAGAGAAAAAAATTCACATCTCACTCAGGTGGTCATTGCCACGCGTTAGTTTAGAGCATATATAGTGTAGAGCAGTTAGTTTAATGCTTCTGGGTGGAGGTGACACAGGACCGACAGTTTTGTAACTTTGCTCTTTTGTTTCATACACTGTGAACAGATAATAAGGATTTGGGTGGCTGTGTTGTATTCAGGCTAATGGACACGCCACAACTCGTCCATTCAGTATTATTGGGCATATGTTTCCAATTTTTTTGTTATTACAAATGATTCAGAGAACATCCTTGTACATAAATCTCTGCAAACTTCTCAAATTATTTCCTTAGAATAATTACAAGAACTGGGATTTCAGACTAGAGGGTATAAAAATGTTCAGGTGTTTGATATATATTGCAAAATTGCCCTTCAGGGGATTGGACCAATTTACTCCCCCCACTGGCTATGACAGTCCCCAGAAAACTGCTGGCGTGGCTTCTCACGTCAGTTAGATAACCGCGTTTGTTGGTGTTATTGATTTCAATTTGGTGCTAAAATTATTCTTCTACCTTGGAGGAAGGAATAGGGCCAGAAAACTTTGTTGTGTCAATTCTTAAAACTGTGGGAAGGAGCTCTTCAGAGGATGCTTAGAGTGGCTAAGCGCTAAGTTAATAGTGAGGACTGGGTTTTAGATATTTTTTATTCCCTCCTGACCTTATATTACCGTTCTCTCCTATAAAATGGGAACTATCTTTAATCTCAGAACTGGACTTTGCAAATCATGTTCTTAAAATTTAGCTCTCCTGAACATCTTACAGGAAGGTAGAATTCAGATTTAGTGTAATTTCAGACACGCAGGTTAAGTAAGCTGCTGATAGCTGTAGAAATACCGGATTCCCTGTTTAGTGCTCTCATGCGATTACTCATTCAAACTTCTTATTAACTAGAGTGAATGTGTCCTTTGAAAGGTCTCATTGTCTTGGTAAAATCGCATTTATAGGTAGAGCCTGAGCTAAGCCTTGTTCTCTGCAGTGAGGCAGACCACACTGTCATTTTCTTCTGTCACTTTCAGTTTGCTTGACGGAAAGGGCTGAAGCAGAAGAACTTAAATTAGTTATAAATCACAAAAGCACTTCTTAAGATTGGGATGCCAACAGAACTTCATTAAGCTGCTCCTCACGAAAATTGTAGCAAAATAATAAAGCAGAGGGGTGTCAGAGTACATGTTGACCCAGTTGCCATGGTATTTTGACATCATGTGGGACAGTGCTCGGGCCTTCCGGAACTTCCCTGTTATCATAGGTGCACGGGCCCTTGCCTGGGACACAGTGGGTTCTGTGAGAAGCAATAAATAGGAATATCTTTACTTCCGGGGTTGGAAATAGGTACAAAAATTTGTGGCTTCCCACCGAACAGTGTGTAGAGGATCTCTTAAGCACTATTAAATGCTAACCTTGCAGCATCTTATAAATCACAGATAGTACACTAATTTTAAAGATGAAGAAACACACCCTTATGAAGCTTAAGCAACTCGCCTACAGCTGCTTGGGACCAGTACAGACACCCACACTTCTGAACGAAGCACGCCATCTCAACCACTGCTAACACACACTGCTTTCTCATGAGTCACCACTGTCACTGACGAAAGATCACTTGTATTTAGGCTTTATGGCCAGCTCTATAAACAGTCATTTCATTTTAGCTTTATAGTAACTGGAAGAGTTGATATTGTTACAATCCTCTTTTGCAGATGAAGAAAATGAAGTTCAGAGACTTAAATAACTTACCCAAAGACACACAGCAGTAACTCTTAGAACTAGGGTCCAAACTAGGCCTTTCTGCCTTTAAAGCCTACATGTACTTTTGATGACCATATCTGAATGCCTCGCTACATATAGGTTTCTGCTGAGGGGTACAGTACTAAAATCAGTATGGCCTTTAGATCCACGCTCTTAAATTTTTAATTATGATTGACTTAGAACTCTAGTGTATGTTAGACTTTAAACAAAAAGAATAATTACATTCTCTTCTGACAAGGACTATGACAACTTGATTTATGATATATGCATTCCTTTCAAATAGAGAGATCTAATATAGATATTCTCTTCATATACATGAACCCAATTTGGTTTTATAGCTAAATTCATTATTTTGAATGGGAGTTAATTTGATAATGGCGTCCTCTGCCTTGCTGCCGTGACTGATTTGCTTGACTGTTTCTCCCGAGAGCTGGCATTTCCCCAAAGGAAAGCTCAGAATTCAGTTACTGTGAATCTGTACATTACATGTATTGAAATAATCCCCTGCATTATCAGCTTCACAAGAGCCAAGTTATGCACATTGAGTCTCAATCCCCTAAGAAGCAATTCTGTTGTAGTAGAAAAATACCTGTAAGGCAGCTATCACGTGCTTTATTTTTCAACCTTTAGCTGGAGTCCTGTGCCCTCTTGGCTCAGTGCGCCCTCTGGCATACCATGGAAGAACCAGGTGGTGGAATGGTGGGGCGATGACTGGGGCTAAATGTAGAAATGCATCTTCGGTGTATTATTTTGGAGACAATTATGTATAAATCATCTGCCTGTTCAGATTGCTGTGCAAATAAAATGTTTTCACAACGTGCAGCCTGTTGGAGACAAAAGCCCTACGTACACCTACAGTTGAGAAAGGAAGACCTATGCCGAGCTGTTTGTCTGGAGACTGTTTTGAATATTTATTGGAACAGATTAAGGGAAGAGACTATGAATAAAGGGAGCACTAGAGACCAGCAGAGGAGGTGGTGGAGGGAGACAGGGCATCTTGTCATGCATCTTGCTGGGTTTTCCAGTGGCACATCAGCCACGCTTAGAACTGCCGGTAACTGGTGTCTGTTGATGGCTTGCCACTGCAGGTGATTCTGAATTGCTGTGAGGGCGGAACACCCAAGGAGACAATAGAAAATTTGTTGCACAGAATGTCAAAAGAGAAGACTCTGACTGCTGAGAGTTTGGTAAAACTCCTCCAGGCTGTGACGAAGTCATTCCCAAACTTGGGCCTTCTGCTGGAGAATTTGCAGGAAATGGCCACTTTACCAAGCACCGCAGGTACTAGTTAATTGTTGACTGTCTGGACCCCTCCTGCAGAAAATGAAAGCTTAAAACGCCTTTTCAGCTCTATGCCGGGGAGATGAGATAACATTAGTAAATGCCAGTGCAGAGCTAGCTAGCTGTCACAGAGCGGACATGCTTGTGTGTCTGCAGTGTGAACTGAAAACTGAGAATTCTTTTCTCCATTAAGCTCCCCTACAAGGTTCTTCTGTTCAGGTTTGCTGATGTGTGGTTGTTTCAGGACTGGCACATTTCACCTGTGACTACCTAAGTTGCAAACAGGCTCATGAAGCTCCTCGTATTGACAAGCTGTGTGGACAGATGTGAGCAGCAGAAGCACCCATCTTGATTTCCCTACCCTGTCTGAGTGCTCTGTGGCTCCTGCAGGCCCTGAAATTAACTGCTGTCATGTCCACTCAGCTTGGCAAGTGAGTCCATCGTCTATGCCCTAGAAGACAGCCCCACTCTTGCCAGTGCTCCCTGTTCTGGGTGTTTTAAAATAGAATGGTCCTCACAGAAAGCGTATTTGGGAAATGGCAGTGCTTTTTCCCTCCTTTATTACACAAACTTAAGCAACTTGAAAAATGAAGAAAAGCTAAAATCATATCTTTGACATTTTATCACATCTTTACAATGTTGAGATACTCATATTTTTTAACTTCCTCCACTTGACAGAATAATAAACATTCTTTTCCACAGTAAAGGAAAAGCCCCATATTGTGAAGACTAGTTTTCCATGGTAAGGGCATGCGTGACAGACCCCCGTGGTTTGGGCCAAGTGGAGCATGGGAGTGGAGGCTGGCGAGACCGCCTGGTTTGCATCCTCCCTCATTTTGTGGCTCTGTGGCCTCCAGCCAGTCCCTAACCTTCTTGAACTTCAGCCTTAGTCAGGGATAAGACTGGTACTGCTCACACTTGTTTTTGTGGTTGCTGTGAGGTAAAATCCTTAGCACAGACCCTAGCTCAGTAATCATTGTTATCATCATTGCCAACACCACAAATTCCACAGTGGCAAATATCTTGATACATTTTCTGCATTTAGATCACTTCTTAAGGCTAGATTTCCAGAAGTTAGGGGCAAAGGAGAATAAATTCTTAACTCTTTACAAAGCTAAGGGAAATGCTGACAGTTCTGCCTTTTCCTCACTTTCAAATAAATCTGACCTCTTAAAAGAGAGCCTAACAGCTGGGCTCAGAGGACATCTAAACAGCAGGACAAGGGTCAGCTCCACCACCGCAGCCTTGACTCGGGCCTGTATTTGTTGGGGGAGCACGTGGATCCTTCACCTCAGGCTTGCCACAGAAATAAAGCCCCTTGACTGCATCTGAATCTCTTATAAGTGCAGCTTCTAATTACCCCTTGCTGAGCAGTCCCAAACAGCTACCACCAGACACTACCTTGCAAAGTGTTACTGGTTTTGTGACCCTGAAGCACCAAGTGATCAAGTGTAGACGGAAGGGGATCTGAGCACATGTGTGTGAGGCCCCAGGCCAAGAGCTGAACTTGCTCTCCAGAGGAGGCGGAGCTCTGGCCCAGATAACGCCCTTCCTCGCTCATTGGTAACTCCCCAAGCCTTCAGTAGAAGCCCTTAAGGAGGTTTTGTTGTATCAAACATTATTGTTTTGCCAATATCCTTACAGTCCAAGCAAGCCCTGATGATTATGGGACTGAGCTATTGAGACGGTATCACGAAAACCTCTCTGAGATTTTCACAGACAACCAGATGTTACTAAAAATGATCTCACATGTGAAGAGTTTAGCCCCTGGAGAAAGAGAGGTAAGAGAGGAAGAGAGAGAGGGAGGAAGGGAGAGAGGGAGGAAGGGTGGGGCAAATAAGAGTGAAGGAAAAAAACATGAACATGTGTATTTTATAATATATACTTATATTTTACACAAATATACACACACAGCCATGTTGAGAAATGCTAAGGGGCGTACAGAGGAGATAGAAGTTGATTCTGTTTCTGAGGCAGAGTGACAAGTAGGATGGTTACAACTTCTGTTACGGAGGGGCCTTCCAAAGGAGGAACGAAGAACTTGGTCATGTGTACACATTTTTCGTTTGAATGAGGCGAGGGGCGTTGAGCCCCTCCCAGCACGCGGTCCCATCGCCCAGCTCTGCCGCGGGGCCGCGGCCGGCCATCCCTCACGTGCGTGTTTGTGCTGCGTCTCGAAGGTCATGGAGAAGCTTGTGGAACGTGATGCTGGTTCAGGTGGCTTCAGTTCCCTGGTGTCCGCAGTCCTAGAAAAGCAGACTCTCTCTGCCACGGCCCTTTGGCAGGTACTGCTGGTGGCTCAGGAGACAAAGACCTGCCCGCTGAAACTGCTTGTGGAGGAGATCCGCAGGGACCCTGGCGCTGAGGCTTTCCTCCGGGCGGGTAGGTTGCCTGGCCTCTCGTGGCCTTGCCCACTAGGCATTCTTGTCAGTCTCCCCAGGAAATGGGAGGCGTGCCATCGTGCAGCCCTTTGGCCTTGGAAGTCGGAACCATGTGTTTTGTCCAAGGACACGGGAGTTCAGAAACCTTTGAAAGTAAAATCCACAGCAATGAGTCTAAGTTTATATTAATAATTATATTCTGATCAGAGCGCCATTGCCATTTTCCGCACTCCGCCCCGAAGTAGGAGAGAGGTGACGGATGTTCTGTCATGAAGAAATGGGTTGAGAATGGGTGAAGGGAAGTAGATGGTGCCCCGAGTTCTCCTGATGAGTCGTCAACCCTTTTCTTTCAGTGACCGCCCCAGAAAGTGCGGCCCTAGTAACCATCCTGAGGCATCACACGTCCATCCTAGAGGCCATCAAGCACAGCACCGAGGTCAAGGGCCTCACCTCAGAGGAGGAGCACCTGGCAGAGGCTGTCAAAGAGGTGCCGTGGGGACGAAGCACAGGGTCTCCCAGGGCGGGAAGGTCTTTGCTCCTAAGGGAGGAGTCAGCCGTAGACTGCCTGCCGGTTACTGACCCCTCCAAGCTAACACTTTGTAACACTTTCACCCTTTTAATCCCACCAACTCCGAGTGGCGGGTGATGTCACCTACATTTTACAGATGAGGGAACTCAGGCTCCAGGGGCTTCGTAAATAAGCTCCAGCTGGTCAGAGGTGAAGCCAGGATTTGAACCCACATTCATGTAATGCCAGTCTAGATTGTTCCATTTGTATGAACCCAGGTAAATCTCAAAGGGGCTCATGATAACTGTTCTCCAACATGTTCTGCGAAGCAACTTCTTCCAGAGAAAGGAAAGTAAAATTGTTCTTATTACATGCTCTATTCTGGCTTCTAGGAACAGCCAAGATAAACATAGCTAGAACAAAGCCTTTGTCCATATGGAGTAGCAGATAGTGCCAGCTCATTTTCTGTAAGACTTCTCACAGTGTGGCCAGCATCCCAGAAAAGCCAGGTGGGGACTGGGTGGGAATCATGAGTGTCCAGCCCAGGATCATGTGCATCTTGAGAGGGGAGACTTAGAGAAGAATGAAAATTAAATTATAATTCGTCCGTGGTGCTTGGGTCCAAGTAGGCTGGAAGGTGTGCACACAGGTGCCCGCCACCACGGTCTGACCGTGGGGAGACAGTGGCGCACATCTCTGTGTGGCGTCAGAAGAAAGAGCCATCCGCTAGACTCTGCCCAGCATGCCACGCACTGCAGAGAGGCGCTGTGCAGTTATCAGTTTTAGCCTCGCTAATTAGTCTCATGCCTGCCTCAAGGGACATCAGGTTTATTTAGATAGACTTGAAAAGAGCAGAAATAAAATATCTTCTAAAATGAAAATTCCATTTGACCATCTGTGGCTGGTTTAGCTTCATTTTCTCCGTGTACTGACTCTTTCTGTTGCTCGCTCTAACGTTCTAAGAGAGAACAGCTTTGAAATAATATTCTTGGCCTCTTTAAAGCCCCGGTTTGAACCTTGTCTAAAAAGCTGAATTTCTTTATGAAAGAAAATGATGTTTAAAAGGATCCATCTAAGTATCTAAAATTGTGAAGCCCCTGATCATGCAGAATCACTTCCAGACATTGAAACAAGTATGTATTATGAAAAACAATCCTGATCATTAAGACAGAAACACCCACAACCAAATCCTACAGCTTTCTAAGCTTTTAATATTTAGATCTAGAAGCATTAAGATCCAGAAAATGTCATATTCAGATCTAGAATTTTAAGAGATAGAAAAGTTCTTTGAGAGACTCCTGGTTTCTGCGGAGATATTTCTCACGGAAAATGTTCAATGAGTCCGTGCTCCGTCTTTCTTTTCACACGTCATGATATGTGCCTCTTTTTCTTTTTTTTAAATTAATTTTTTTTGAAAAGAGGACCCTCTGCTGTATTTACAGCAAGAAATGTAAACTTGTTGTAGATAGAGCCGTGCCTTCCTGAAATTTAGCTTTTGTCTTCAGTTGAAAACCATGGGAAAATCTGATGCTAACCACAAACCTCTGTCTCACGGTATTCATTTAGATTCTGAGCATTTCCTCTGAGACAGCCAGCCCTGAAGCTTCCCTGAGAGCAGTGCTGAGCAGAGCCACGGAAAAATCCGTCTCAGCTGTTGAAATATGTCACCTCCTGTGCCGCGTCCAAGGTTCTTCCCCGGGCCTGCAGCCTGTCATGCAGGAGTTGGCACGCATGGGTAAGAAGCGGGGTGTCAAGGGCCTCCTGAGGGAGGCAATACCCTTACTAGAGAGAGGAGGTGGCTCTCTCGATTTCCCCCATTGCCACTTCAGTTTACATGCTTTCAGTGCCTAGAAAGGCCTGGGTGTCCATCTAAGATGGTGCTGTTTGTGTTCCTCAGAAATAAAAGGTGACAGTGGTATCGCTGCTGGGTTCAGAGTGTCCCAAGTAGCCTCCAGTCCCTTCCAGTTAGAAAGCCAAGTAAAACAGAGCTCCCAGAGTCACACACTCTCTCCTGTGCAGGTTTCCTCACTCAGGAAGATGGTGAGAAAGAACACTGGAAGGTGAATGATAAACTTTACCTTGAAGCCACTGACAAAGCTGAGGGAAAGACAGCCAAGCCAGGTGAAGAAGAATGCCAGTCTGGGAAGCAGGACCATCCAGGAGAGACTGGCTCCGTGCCAGAACCATCCGAGAAAGACACTTCCGCCCCCCCAGACTCTGCCAAAAAGAGCTTCGTCTGTCAGGCCTGTGACAAAAGCTTCCACTTCTACTGCCGCCTGAAAGTGCACATGAAGCGCTGCCGGGTGGCCAAGAGCAAGCAGGTGCAGTGTAAGGACTGCAGCGAGACCAAGGAGTCCAGGAAGGAGCTGGAGAAGCATCAGCTGGAGGCCCACGGTGCAGCTGCAGAGGCTGACGCCCCCAAGAAGAAGAAAAAGAGGCTTCCAGTGACGTGTGACCTCTGTGGAAGAGAATTTGCTCACGCCTCAGGTACACCCAGGAGGCGGGTCATAGAGGGCGATGTGCTGGGTATTGCCTGCAGATTCTAGATGAGTGAGTAGGGGTGTGCGCGGGACTCAAGTATAGATCAGGCTCCAACTGGCTGGGGTGGTGTGTGAAGGACAGCGAGAGCTTTGCATCATTCGCCTGAGCCTGATTCCCCATCTGGTAAGTGAGCACCCTGACCCCGCCTCCTTTTTCGGGATTATTGGGAAGATTCAGGTGATATAGCTAAACTCCTAGAACAGCACCTGCCGTGGAGTTAGTGAAGCGTGGCTCTTCTTACTGAGAATCACCACCAGCTGCTTCACCCTAGGTTTCCATATACCACTTTCTTCTTGATAATAAACGAGAGTCACAAAAGCCACAGACTGTAGTCAGAACTCTGCTCCCTGGCCCCAGATAACAGACTAACCCAAGGAAAGAGAAAAATGAATCTTGCGTCTCTTTCTGGGTAGCTGGTCCTATTTGAGGGGAGGTGGGGCAGGGAAGATAAACGCAGAGCTCTCCATGCCTGCTCGAAGCGGGAGTGGGGCAGGGCGCCTGGGTGGAGGCGCAGTGCGGCTGGGGCCCTGTGGGCACACTGCTCCCCCGGGAATGGCATGGTTGGTGGCCTCGTGCAGACTTAGGGTTGCTGGCTGGTATGACTCTGCCCCGACCCTTCCCTAGGCATGCAGTACCACAAGCTGACCGAGCACTTCGACGAGAAGCCTTTCTCCTGTGAAGAGTGTGGGGCAAAGTTCGCAGCCAATTCCACCCTGAAGAACCACCTGCGCCTGCACACGGGGGACCGCCCGTTCATGTGCAAGCACTGCCTCATGACCTTCACCCAGGCGTCCGCCCTGGCCTACCACACCAAGAAGAAGCACTCGGAAGGTAAAGTGTGGAGAGGTTCATTCTCTCCTGCTAACTCTGACCTGCCTAAAGACCCATTTGGAATTAGGTATGATGTGGAGGAATCCAGAAACAGAACAGAGACTCTCTGGGCACGCGGGCAACTGGGTGTGTGCACAGGTGTGTGAAATGCTTGTGTGGGTTTCTGAAGAGAGGCTGGCTGGCGTAGCACCGACTTTGTTTACCTTTGTAGACTTCACATAAGACCCACATCCCTCGGGCTAAGATGGCGTGCAAGAATGAGGAACCTTGGCTGAGCACCTTCTGTGCATGGAGCTGACAGAAGCTGAGGGGTGGGCAAGGTGCTGGGTCCTCGGGGCTGACGGCCTGGTGTGCAGGTGGCTGTCCAGAGGCGGTTACAGTGCAGCATCATTGGCACGGCCGCCTGGAGAGACGCCAGCGTCCGGGGGAACAGTGGGGTGGTGCTTTCTAGTCTGCTTGGACAAAAGGAGGTGTGTTGTCAGAAGGCTTCCTGGGGGTCCTGTGTGTTGCTGGGAGCACTTGTGTACAAGCAACAGTGCCTCCACACCTGCCCGGGTTGTGGTGGCCTCCCAGCTGGGTCTTCTCAGTACTCAGTCCTGAGTAAGCCTTAAAAAGTAAGCCTCATCAGGTCACATCTGCTCCAGACCCTGCAGGGCCTTCTCATCCTGCTCATGTCAGCCCAAGGCCTGGCCCACTCCACATGGATCCCCCGCTTCCCAGCAGCCCATAGGGAGCTGGCATGCGGAGGTGACCTGGCATGTGTCAGATTCCCGAATATTTTAGCAGCCTTTGGCACTCTGTTCACTACATTCTCATCGTGTGTGTAAAAACAGCAAAGCCAGGTCACTGGTCACAAGTTCATGGCAGGCCACTGGGAGAAGCTCTCACCTTTGTGTGCGGTTGTGATTCTGTGCACAAGGAATTCAGGCTCAGTAGGAGGAAATAATTGTTTTCTGGGAGTGGGGAGCGCTGACACACCTGTGGTGGCCGGGCTAGCAGGTGGGTGATCTCAGGTGTTGAGAACCCCCTCCGTCCCCGGGTGGGGAGACCACCCTGCACCCTCTCCATTTTGACTGATAGGATGGCTCAGACCTCTCACCCAGCTCCCAGACTGCCTGCTGTTGTCTCGCCCAGAGACTCTGTTCCCAGGACTTGCCTTAGAAGGTGCTGTGGTTTGGAGGCGCGCCGGAACGTGAGGGCTGGCTCCCATGCGCTCTGTCTCTTCCAGGAAAGATGTACGCATGCCAGTACTGTGACGCCGTCTTTGCCCAGTCCATCGAGCTGTCCCGCCACGTGCGGACCCACACTGGGGACAAGCCATATGTCTGCAGGGATTGTGGCAAGGGCTTCCGGCAGGCCAACGGCCTCTCCATCCACCTGCACACTTTTCATAGTAGGTACCGAGAGTGTGTGCCGGGCACTCAGCTCCAGGCCCGGCCCCAAGAAGGCATGTACCCATCTTGACAAAAGTGTCAGTCCACCAGGGCCCTATCAGCACCTGCCTCCCCCTGCCCCTGCAAAACTCAGAGTCCCTCACACCTTTGTCAAGAATCCCATTTTAACGTGTGATTGATTGTGTGATGCCTATTGATGCCTATTTCTCTGTCCAGGCTTTCTTTGTTCTTCTTTTTAGCCTGCATGGCTCTGTTTGGTTGACAGAGGCAAATTATGTTTGAAGGGAAAAGCTTCGGTAACAGACAGGCACTGGAATATTCCCATTAGTCCACTGAGCTTCCATTTTCTACCCTCAGCCTCTTCCCCTCTCTCATCTAGAATCCTGTCTGCCTTTCCCGGGAGGGGCAGGCTGGACTCTTGAGGTAACGAGTGCCACCACAGGTCGGCTTGTGCCCAGCGCGCTCTCCCAAGCGCCCCTGCGTTCACTCAGTAGGGTCCACCTCGTCTTTCTCCCCTTCTAGGATGGATACAGACAAAAAGACACCAAAGACACCACTATTACACACACACACACACACACACACACACACACACACACACACACACTCAGGAAGGAAGGAAAAGGAAACTCTGACTCCTTATTACAGCTTCAGAAAGTCGTGGTGAGACACTGGCTGGCCTTCGGCTTTTCTTCAGAGGCCCTTGTTGCAGCAGAAACGAATCAGCACAGCCTAGCAAGGAGCTCAGGACACTGAACTCGCAGACTTGGACTTGGTGCTACCATTTACTTCCTTGAGACCTTAAATAAATTTCAAAGCCTCTTATACCCCTGCTTGGCCTAGAGAAAGCAGCACTACCTCCCTGGATTATTGTGAGAATATTCGTGGGGCATCATCATATGTGAAGCTTGAAGTTTCCTGCCTAGCACATAGAACATGCTCAATAAATGCCAGGCATTATTAGTGGCAAAGAGCAACCCTCTCGCCTTTGTGAGAAAACCTAGCTTTCTTGAACCCCTGCTCCTGTCTCCAGTCCCCACCAATCCCCCACATACCAGTTGTAGTTGAGTTGTCGCCAAATAGTGTCTCGTTAGCATGTGCTTTGTGGCAGCACAGTCAAGTCTGCTGCCAGCCAGTAGTGAAGGACTTTGCCGGAGAGCCTCTGTGGCTGGACCCTGGGTAGTGAAGGAGAATCTACAGTGCCGCCCTCCCCAAGGAGTTTACTTGGCTGTCTAGAAACGCAACTGTGGTAGACTCCCACACAGTGGAGGGCTTGACCCAGTGCTGCCACAGTTTTGATGTCCTCTTGACCTCTGAAAGGACATTGTGCCCCCCTCCCGTAGCACCCTCTGGGAACCGGCAAAGGGAAACCCTCCGTCTCTAGAGTAGAGAGGCTGTATCTTCGCAGCAACACCCCTGCTCACGTCCACTCTCCCCGCCTGCTCATAGACCACATCATTGCTTCAGTGTCTTAACTGACATTGTAAAACAGACTCAAGAGCTCCTGTCCTCAGGGAAACTCATTAATGGTCCCAAGAGCTGCTGTATGTCAGGACTCCTGAATTAGTCGGAAGCCTCTGCACACCAAGGAGGGCTGGTAGGCTGGCCCTTTCTTGCAGGCTGAGGGTTTTCATAGGAAAACATTCCACTTTCTATTGCTTTTGGAAAGAGGCTGAAGTTTCCCGCCACAGGGAAAGCAGATGCTGTCTTCACCATGGCTGGTTCATCTTCCTGAGATCTCACAGCAGCTGGCATGTCCACGTAAGCATTAGCTCAGAGCGCAGCTTGGGAGGGAAAGCTGGGATTGCTACCCAGGCCAGCCATTCGCTCCTAGTGTAAAGTAGGACTGATAGAACCCGGGAAGGACTAGGTGAGCTCAGAGGACATGAGGCATCGGATCACACCTGCCCTTAGCACTCACTGTCTTTATTGCTGAGCCCACAGAGGGTGTGAGGAAGCATTCCCTCTCAGTCACCCTGCGGGCAACTAAGGAACAAGGGAGGTGATGGGGGTGCTGGCCATCTCAAGAGAGGATTGGGCAACTCATATGCCCCCTGCAGGTGAGGCAAGGATGACACCCTCCGCAAAGGAGTGGTGGAGTTTACCTGTCAGCTATTAAGTGAGAAATTGAGGCGAATGATTGGGGCTGCAGAGGCAGTAACTCCTGGAACCTTGCAGGAATGCTGCCTCCCGGGATGAACGTGGGGAAGTCGGGAGGTCGCTACTTGGCTTCCTATCCTTGGAGTCTGTGAGCCCGCAGGGTGCGCGAACAGTGTCGCATCTGGGCCTGTGCAGGCCGCCCACAGGCCCCTTACTGCGCCCTGTGGTCTGTCTTTCCCTCCGCCCTTCTTCTCATGGCTGTCCCCCTGGGAACCAGACATCGAAGACCCTTATGACTGCAAGAAGTGCAGGATGAGCTTCCCCACGCTGCAGGATCACCGCAAGCACATCCACGAGGTGCACTCTAAGGAGTACCACCCCTGCCCCACGTGCGGGAAGATCTTCAGCGCCCCTTCCATGCTGGAGCGGCACATGGTGACCCACGTCGGCGGGAAGCCCTTCAGCTGTGGGATCTGCAACAAGGCCTACCAGGTGAACCCATCTTCTGCCCCTGACTGACCTGCGCTCCCGCCAACCTTCCTTGAACCCCCACGTATGTGCCTTGCGGGGCCCCTTTGTCTCTAGGATCCGCAGTTTGGTTGGTTCTCATGAAGGGGACAGCTGGCAGTGATTCAGAGTCTCTTAAGGTGACCTGCTAGATGTGGTTCTTCCTCAGGCTTCAGCCTCACCGTGAGCCAGCGCTGCCTGGCCTGAGCCTCGTGTGAAGCCTGAGGACCCCATGTGTCTGGCTAGCAGAGTGGCAAGGGAACGTGTAACACTGTCTGGAATTCTCTTGATAGCACACTTAGGGGTGGTGTACATTTTTTTTTAACTGCCAGGTCAGAGCTCTGCTTTTTTACCTTAGAATCTGCTATGTAATTAAAGTGAAACCCCACATAGAACTAAAGAGAAGCCATGTCTGTGAGAAGCTCTTAAACCAGAGAGGAAAGAACGACCATTGCTGGCGTCCGTGAGGTGTGGGGGCAGAGAGAGACGGCGAGCAGCTAAGTGCCACGCAACAAAGACTGAGATTTGGCTTTGCGCCAGGCCTTGTGCTGTGAGTCCAGTGTCATGAGCTGTAGTGACCAGGACTTCAGCTCCTGGGACCCACTGGATGGTTGGGGAGTGCCCCAGCATCTCTCTGGAGCCCGGGAGGACGGGGCACTTGCTCCAGGCCCTGCTCCTCTGCTGTGCCCCAGGCCTGGGAAGCAATGGTGAAGCGCCGGTGCCCCCCCACCCCCGAAAGCGGGGTGTAGCTCTGGCCTTTCTATTTGCTAACCTTGGCCCTGGGCAAGTCATTTAACCCCTCGGTGCGTCGGCTTCCACTGCAGTGAAGACATTCCCAACACCCCACACAGGGTTGTGAGGGACCTGCCTTGTCCCCATCCACACAGCTTCACTCTCCTGCCAGTACTCACTGTGCTCGGAAGTGAGTGACTGGAAGGCTGCGTGCTTGCCTGAGAACGCTTTCCCTCTCTTCGCGAGGGTCTCATCAGTTCTGCAGCTTGCTAGCACATTCTGAGACCTAGCATTTGCAAAATTCCTTGCAGCAATTGTCTGGCTTGTGGTACCACAACCGGACCCACCATCCTGATGTGTTTGCTGCTCAGAACCATCGATCTTCCAAGTTCTCATCACTCCAGTGCAGCTCCTGTGACAAAACGTTTTCCAACACCATTGAACACAAGAAGCACATCAAAGCGGAGCACGCAGGTAAAGTCGGGGCACTGCCACCGCGAATCTGAGCCACCGAGTCAGAGCGACTTGGTGCCGCGCATCCTCGGCGCTGCCCCCAAAGCCCAGCTCCAGGCTGTAGGGTGGTGTGCATTGCTCACGGCCTCTGTTTGCCTGAGCCTGGAGGTGCCACTCAGGGCGGCGGCAACAGGTTCTGGTGTGGGCAGGTGCTCAGGCTTGGGGCCCTGGAGCAGTGCAGGAACCCCAGCTCGCGACTGCTCGCAGCACCTTGGAGGGTGGCGGGCAGGGCTGGGGGAGTCCTGGCTCTTGCACTGACCAACGGGGTGGTGGTAGCAACAACCCCTCTCTTCTGCAGCTGCTCCTTCTTCTCAGAAGAGGCGTTATTAGTACCTCCTCGCAGGTAATCTGGAGTAATCACAACTGCTAGTTATCAAATGTGAGTCAAGGCCAAGTCCAAGCACATGTGTGTGTGTTCGCTTAATTGATTCTGGCAGTCAGGTGCTGCTGACCCCATGGTGCTAATCTCGCCTCGGTAGGAGGGTCCCGGCACGTGGTAGGTGCTTGATGAGAGAGCGCCCTCGCTCTTACCCAGCTTGCTACTCTCAGCCTGAGAGGGCCACCCCCCCGCCCATGTGCTCTGCAGATATGAAGTTCCACGAATGTGACCAGTGCAAGGAGCTCTTCCCCACGCCAGCCTTGCTGCAGGTTCACATCAAGTGCCAGCACTCAGGTCAGTGTCCCGCCCCGCCGCTCTGAGCCGCGGCTGAGGGCACCCTCCTGCCCCAGCAGCGCCTCTCCTCTCGGGCCACGCGCCTCGGGTCCTCCTGGAGGCAAGGCCACTCACAGCGCCCCCTCGGCGTCGCCGACTTCTGTGTGCGCCCACAGAAAGCACTGAGGCTTGGTGCCAGTGGCATCCTGGATTCGCCTGTGTTTGTCGTCGTCGCGGCTGTGGCTCGTCAGGCCTCAGTGTGCCGCTGAAAGGCAGTGCGTTTGTCATCAGCACTGCTGCCCATTAAGCTGTGCTTCTCCCCTGAGAATGTGAAGGTTATTCCAAGTGCTGCCTCGGACTTAATGTGGCACAGATTTCTCGGCTCTTTTGTGTGCATACATGAAAAGGAAACACAAGAAATAAATGGAGGAGGGAGGAGTGCAGCTTCTGGGCTGTCGTGTGGGCGTGGGGATGGCGCACCTAGTGGGCCGCGGTTTCGGCCCTGGCGCGGTATGTGAAATGAGCCTACAGTGTATTCCTGCCTGGGGGATGTCGCTGCACCTCCTCTCCACCCCCCGGCACAACCAGAGTTGAAAACACACCCTGCACCTGCGGTGGGGATTTTCCTCCACGTCAAGTCGTGGTGCTGCCACTTCAGCCATTCCTGGGTGCACCCAGCTCCCTCCTTGCCTGTTGATGAGGAGCCCTCCCTCCCATTCCAGAGGGGTTGGAGTGTACCTCTCAGATTTGGGGGCGTGCAGCCCTCACGGCCATAACTACTTCAACACTTGAAGGGCTTCACAGTGGCAGATGAGCCAAAGCCGCTGCTGACAAGGCCGTGGCTCGGCCTCCTTCGCATGACGCCTTTCAGAGCTCTGCCTTTCACCTGTTTTTAAATGTTGCTTTATTTCCCTGTAGCTGGCTCCCCAGATTATCCTCCGCCTCAGTCCTCGTCGCGGTCCCCCTCCTGCGTTCACTGCGCCCATAGCCACCCTGTGTCTCCCCTCCTGCAGGCTCGCAGCCCTTCAGGTGCCTGTACTGCGCAGCGACCTTCCGCTTCCCTGGCGCCCTGCAGCACCACGTCACCACCGAGCACTTCAAGCAGTCGGAGAACACCTTCCCCTGCGAGCTCTGTGGGGAGCTCTTCACCTCCCAGGCCCAGCTGGACAGCCACTTGGAGTCTGAACACCCAAAGGTGACGGACACTGGCACCCAAGCAGCAGCCCCACAGGTGGTGCAGGTGATTCTGGGCCCTGAGAGGGGTGGGGTGGGGGTGGGGCGGGGGGTCCAAAGCGTCTCTAGAGGCAAATCCTGCCTTCCCCCGGGGCTCTCAGAGGCCCCAGAAGTAATTCATTCATGACCAGGAGGTCCTTGCAGGAGAATTTCTGTGGATCTCCTACCAAGCAGAATAGAACATTCTAGTTTCCTGTGAAAGAGCCCTAAGTAAAGGAAGCCTGGAAAAGAATTTCCAAAAGTGGAATGACCTTGTTTCTCTTCCCATTTCACACATTTCCATCTTCTGTGAACCCCTGTGGGGCAGGGGGTGAAAGCTCTTTCTTGGGACCACCCTCGCCCAAACTCCACTGCAGCTCCTAGGTGGGCGCAGGGTGTGTTCGGGCATGTCGGGGTCTCTCACCTTTACCTGAGTGAGAATCCTGCCACCTCGTGTTCAGCTTGCTCCCACTCCTCTTGGTGTTCCCTTCGTCTTTCACTCCTCTTCCCACCTTGCCCAGAGAGGGTGCTCAGAAAAGGAAAAGCACTCAGCTTCTCTGGTTGGCAGTAGTCTGTGGATGGACTAAAGAGGTGCTGTAACCGGATGTCCCATGGAGCGATTGCTATGAACCGCCTCCTGTTCTCTGCCGCTTCCGGAAGCCAGGGGGCAAGCGAGGTGGGCAACTCCTGGAGGTGCCCCTGCGGCTGCTCAGCCAGCAGCGCTGCTGTTTCCTCTTTTCCACCTGGATTCTTAGTCAGCTATCCTTTAGGGCAGTGGGGGCAGAGAGGGCTCATTGCTTAAAAAAAGAGCAGCTCTCCTGCCTGCCTGTGACTTTGCAGGTGCCTCTTTTTCTCCTTTTCCCAACAAGCCTGCCCTTTTAAAAAACAAAACAAAAAGGAAGAAAAACAGTGAGAGGACTATCCCAGGTGATCTGTGACTGTACGTTACAATTGGTCTCTTGACACCCACAGCACAGTCATAGCTGCGCTAGGCTTATCCCTGTCTACTCACCCAGGCCTGGTGCCTTCGCCCCACTCACTGCCAGTTTTCAGGAGCCCCATGGCACCCGCCATAGCACTCTGGACAGCACCCGGTTGCCCTGAGCACCATAGCTCTGAAGACGCGCCAGTCCTGGGTGCAGGCAGTGCTGGGCTTACTCAACACGCAGACAGTCCTCCCTGAGGTGAGAAGCCCAGCTCTAACGTGCTGCAAGTTCGGAAAGGGCCATGGGCCTCTGGAGGCAAGAACGGTCTGCCCTGCAGTGGGTGGGAAGAAGTGCACTGACAGAGTTCAGGTGTCATCTACCTGGTCGTCTACTGCGTCATCTCATGGCGGTCCGGGGTCCCACCATTGTCCAGCTGAGGCTCTGGTCAGTTATTCCTGTGTCCGTGTTTCCAGACAAGACCAGGCTCCATCAGAAGTGTTCCTTTCACACGGCTCTTCCCTCCACAGTGCAGTCCTCAGACAGGAGAGTCCAGTGTGAGAAACGGAGCCGGCGTTCAGGGTGTAATCATAGAGTCCGACACCCCGAGATGGCTTACTGAGCTAAATTATAGCAATTTAGTGCACAGAGTTATTTAAATTGTTTGCCTGCCTTCTCTTTTGCATCACTGGTGTGTTAGACTTGCCTCTTCCCATTAGGCACATGTAATTGCTCTCCTCAGGTGAAAACATAAACATCATCATTACAGCATGAGATGGGAGCCATGTAAATGCCGGGAGCTCGCCGCGGACACTGCCCACAGCAGCCTCGCGTCTTTCCCTTGCAGGTGATCCAAACCCCAGAGCCAGCTGCCCCGGCGGAACAGGTGATCACACTGGAAGAGACCCAGCTGGCTGGCTCGCAGGTGTTCGTGACGTTGCCAGACGCGCAGACATCCCAGAGCAGCTCTGAGCTGGTGGCCGTGACTGTGGAGGATTTGCTGGACGGTACAGTGACCCTGATCTGTGGCGAGGCCAAGTGAGGGGCTCTGGGCTGGTGGAGGGCCCGCACTTGGGCAGACACGGCGCCCTTGCTTGCCCTGGCCCTCTGTCCTTGGCCATCCTGACGGCGAGTGTCCTAGCCCAGCAGCCACAGTGTCTCCCTGGGGAAACAGACCTAAGCGCCGTGGTTCTCACAGACGCGGCGGCAGCTGAATCTGGGCACCACCCTCCCCGTCCCCAGGAGGCAGGCCTGCTTTCCCACTGCTGCCGCTGTGGCCGCTGTGGCCCGCGCCCCCAGGAGGAGTGTGGCTTCCGAGATAGTCTGAGTGAGCAGTGGCGTGGAGCTGGGCGCCGGCGCCCTTCGCACGGCAGCTGCTGGTGGGGCTGACGTGCCACCAGCCCTTCGGCCACTTGAAGATCGAGGAGGCACCAACAGCCCCTCCAAGGACCGGGCTGTGCGCACACGTGGCCCCTTCCTCATTTCTGTCATCCACCAGCTGTGGGTGGCCCAGCCCCCTGGTGCTGGCAGTGGGCCGGGTAGGCGCGTCAGCACAGGGAGCCCACGTGTCTGGGTTGGCTGCTTTGTCGTTGCTGTCAGCAAAGCCTTTGGGGTGTTTCTGTGGGGGAGTTCAGTGTGACGCCATCCAGCTACAAGACAGTTTCTGCCTTTCTGGCATGTGCTTCATGGCGTTCTACACACAAAGGCTGGCTCCTGCAGCCTTTCCTTGTTATCCTCTTCCCCTTTCCCTAATCAAAGCCTAAACTTCTGTCTGGCCCGAGAGCCTTGCCCGTCAGCCTTGCCCCTCGCTCTGAAGCAAGTCAGGTGGGAATGACCCAGCGTTGTGCCTGTCGGCCGCCGTCCCCCACATGGCCTTCTGCGCCTCCGGAGGGCCTGCTGTCTGAGCTCTCCAGGCTGCACTGCCACTGTGGGTCAGTGGTCCTGTGGAGTGTGACTTTCACATCCTTTTTATCTTCAGTTTCTAAAATATAATCTCATAATTAATGGTTTGTGGGATTCACTATGAAGTGCAATTAAATGGATGTAGGTTCCCGCCATTTAGAGGGAATGAGGAGTGTTTATCTTCCTTTTCCTGAGCTGACACCAGAGCATGAAGCCTGCTGGTGTTGTATTTACATTCCAGTGGGACTCTGCTGTCACTCATGTGGCGTGGCCTCCTGCAGAGGGCAGTGCCCCATTTGATCACTCAGCCTCAAGCTCCAGGCTGGTAGAAGATAAGCCTACACCCCGGACACCTCGCATGGCCAGGTACCCGTGGGGTGGCAGGTCATTTGGATCATCATGGGGACTTCTGTTGTGCCCCAAACCACTGGAAGGCTGAAGGTGGAAGCTTAACACTGCCAGCATGCTCGCTGCCTGCCATCCTGCTCGGCGGCCTCGCCCAGGCAGCCCCTCCCCCAGGGGGGCCCAGTTTTCATAGGCAGATCACTGGAGCCTGTCAGCTCGGGGCTTTCCCATTCAAGTAAATGAAGTTTTCAAAGGAAAGATGGCCTCAAAAGCCGAAAACTGACCAGAAGATGGTGCTCAAACCTTTAAGACTTCGCTTCCACGTGAAGCTTCCACCAGGCTGCTCTATCTTAGGTTTCTCAGTCATGAGAGCTGTCAGACCTGGACAGCACTGGTCTGCAGGTGGCCACGTAAAATCCATTGTTCGGCCTCAAGGCCCAAGTCCAGCAGAGAGGAATGCAGCCCCGCCCAAGCCACGGTCCTTGGTGGGAACTGCGTTGTCATCAAATCTTTCCCAGCCCAAGCCCAAAATAAACAAGAAATTAAATGCTGAGGGTCTGTAGGAGAAAGCGTCAGATGGAGACCCAGATGTGGCAGGATTGGCTTCCCTCAGCATCTCAGACCACAGCTTGCCACGTGGCGGGCGAGCAGAGCAGTCAGACCTGCCGCTGGGTGGCCTCTCGCCCCCGCGTACTCGGCCAGAGGCACGGCCCTGTGCTCTTCCCTTCAGGAGAGCGGGAGGGCCAGCCCGACTTGGCCTTTGCTCTGAGTGGGCCTTTGTGGCAGGCTCTGCTGGCAGTGATTTTATACCAAGTTGCTCACTAGAGACACCCAGTGTGGATTTTGTTGTAGGAAGATTTTTTTCTAGCTCTCTGGGACTGTTCTGCGTTTTTCTTCCACTTCTGCCCAAGACACCATCGGAATCGCTACCACAGCGCCATCGTGGCGGTCTCCTTTGTCCTGCATCCCGTGCTCTCATGGTGGGGGTCTCGTTGCCGTGGGTGCTGTTCTGTGGTCTCCAGCCAGAACCCTGAAACCTTTGTGGCAACGAGGGACGTGGAGGGTCTTTGGGGCACGTGGATGTATCTGGTGGAGCCCCAAGGCTTCTCTGTTCCCAGGCTGCTGAAGCCGCCTGTGAGGAGGGAAAAGCAGCAGATTCCAAGCTGGAGTCTTAATTCTGTGGGAACAGAATTTACACCTTAGAAAGCGAGGCAGCAGCTGAGGATTCAAGAGCAAGGATTACTGTAGGAGATGAACTTGGAACTTGGGACCTGAGGGCCAGGAAAGCGGCAGAGACGGCGATTTCATCTGGCCTGTCTCGTCTCTCGCCAGCTTTGTGAATACTGGCTGCCCCTGGTGGCTCAAATCCTCACTGAGGACCATCTGCCTCCCCCTGCCACCCAGCACAGGCCACACATCAGCCTCATCCTACAGGAGTGAGTGGGGAGACGAGATCCCTGTCTGGGCCAGATAGGTAGGCACCCAGAGTCGGGAAATGGGAGATGGGTCCGAGGAGTCCCTGTCTCACCCCAGGTGGTGTTGCGGTCACCCCAAGTGGATGCCTTATTGGTGCGGAAGAAGGGCGGTGCCTTTACTGCGCGTGTGCCTGAGGCGCACGCCCGGACTGAGGGGCAGAGCTGCCACGCTTGGGTGGCGCGGTTCCGGCTGAGCCAGAATTCTGTGCAGCGGGGCTGCAGGGAGAAGCAGTGGCAGGGAGACTCGGGGAGCTTTGGTCAGTCCGTGGGGAGACTCGGGGAGCTTTGGTCAGTCTTCCGAAGGAACATTGGCAGCTGCAGCCCTTCTCTGCTGGCCCAGTGTATCCCGGGGTATTTGGGAGGTGGGAGAAAACAGAAGTCAGAGAAAGCTCTGGGTTGAAAAGGAGTGTGGGGGCAAGTTGGCCATTGTTCTGTTGTCAGGGAAAGCGGTGTGCCGGTGGAACTTGGGCCAAAGGCTCATAGCAGCCAGAGCCCCAAAATTTGCTACCTACAGCCTGGCCTGGAAGGGGCGTCTGTGCTTTGGGGATATATGGGTGCAGGGCGCATATTATGCGCTGGGCTAATTTAGATCATTTCCAAATCATGGGAATGTTCACGGCCTCCTTTCCCAAGGCCAACCCCACCTGCTCCCACCCTGGGCAGGACATCGAGCAGCACGTGATGCTATATAAATTGATTACAACCATTACTCGTTTTCAGCTGGCATTACTCTATATAAATAAAATATGTGTCTTGAAAGAAATGATGCTGCCTGAGTTTCAGACGGACTGTGACGACATGGGCCTGTTTTCTCTCGGGTGCTGGGCAGCAGTTGGCATCCCTGGGGTGAGGGGCTGACGGGAGCTCTCTGTCAAGCCAAGTCGCATTTCCTAAACCTTCCCCTGAGACATGAGCGCCGCGCAAGGTCTAGGAGACGGCCTTGGTGGCAGACCTGGCACAGGCCAGCAGTGCCACCCTGGCTGCGTTGCTCACCCTCTCCAGGTGCCCCCCGCCCCTCTCAGAATGAGGGAGGGCACTGTGCCACCCCAACAGAAGTGAGGTTGTACATACTAAAAACCTGGATTTAATTAATTTAGGGTTGAAGTTTTTAGTTGTTATTAACAAAGTGCTTCACCCACAGGTCAGCTATTCCCTGCAGTTTCTAGAACTGAGGAGACTGTTCACCTGACACCTTTGTGTGTGTGTCTTCTTCTCTCTGAGTCCTTAGGGATCCTTGTAACACCCACCACTTTTCACTTATCTCTTGAATCACAACTGCCCCCAAAGCACAATGTGCTGAGCAGATAACTATAAAATAAGCAGAAACCTTTCCTGGCGAACAGCTGGAAATGTCATGTTGCTGGCAGGCAACAAGGAACCTGGAGAGGCACAGATAGGCCGAGCTTTGTGTCGTTGGGGGGGGGGGGGAGGCTGCCACCATGCAGCCCTCTGCAGGACACGCCCTGGGGCTGGGGAGGCGGGTTGGAAGGGCCATGCTGACTCCTCCCAGGAGGCTCCTGGAGAACAACGGGCCCAGAGCCCAGAGAGCCCAGAGGGCTTTTAGGTGTCTTGCCTCTCTGGCCTGCTGGTCCCTGGAGAGCTGCAGCTGTCTGCACTGTGCTGGAGAGATAACCCTGAGTGTCCAGGCACTCGGGTCACTGACGTGTGGTCAGGCGCTAGCCATGGGGGTGAATCTGGCTGGAGGAGAAGCTTCCACTCCAGGAAGGATGACGCTGTATGGTTCCTGCTGTCTAGTTCTCTTGGGCCGCCCTTCCCCGCTCACCTCGCTAGACCTGACCTGGGGTGGGTCTTTCCTGGCATGGCTGGAAAGTGCCCAGCGGAGTCTGTGGATGCTGCATGGACGGTGCCCGTTAGTGTCAGTGATAGCTGGAAGGAGGCTGGCGGAAGCATGCAGAGAAGGGGCAGGGTGTGCGGTGGGGACCTACGTGGAGGGCCTGGGTGGACTCGGCCCACTCTCCGGTGGCCAGAGCCTCTGTCCGGGGCCAGTTTGTGGTGAGCGAGGGGGTAGGCCCTCCCGGGTTGGAGCGCGGACTCCCCGAGCCCCTGGGTACCACACTGGGGTGTAGTTGTGTATGGCGGCTGTGTAGTGAGCAGAGGAGACCGGTGCTGAGCCCCGGAGGTCAGGGCCCTGCCCTCCTCTACTTGCTTCCTGAGTCTTGTCTGTCTTCTTGGCTTGCATGAGCTTATGCCCGGGCATGTACCTACCTGGGGGATAGTAGCTGTGGCCCATGGGTCTCACCATTACCAAACACCCCCCGCCTTGTTGGGAAACACCCCAGAATCGGAGCTCGCCAAGTAGAGGGTGCTAGGATGTGGGCAGAGAAACCAAACTCTTTCTCCCGGAACATTCCTGGCACTTTCTTGTGGGTCTGTCCCTCCCTCTGCCCCGTCGCCCGGTGCTAGCTGGGCGCCCACCGGGACACTGCTTCTCCCCCACACGCTTGGCACCGGACTGAGTGCTCAGGTGCTCGGCAGATGTTGCTGCTGCACGGCCAGGATCAGGCAGTGCCGCTTGCTTGTCCTCTGGGCCCGCAGAGAGAACCCAACTTCCACACCTCAACCCCCCAGCAAAGATTTCACCAAGTTAGCTGGGGGCTGGTCTCTCTGAACATCCCCCTTCCTTTGTCCTCTGAGGAGAGATTTGCAGAAGGCCGAGAGCAGCCACCGGCCCCAGCTCCCCAGCTGCTCTGATCAAACACTGCTCCTGCCAGCTCATCTCTAGCTGGCTCCCCCAGCGCAGGCCAGAAACAGCTGATCAAACACATCAGGACAAGGTCAGTCCAGGGGCCCACGGTCCCCTCTCCGGGGGTGACTTCACAGACCTGCCATCAGGAGGGTCTGATAAAAACGGGCTGCGGGTGGGGAAGGGGGTGCCCAGGGCTGGCCCAGGACCAGCTTTTCATTCCATTTAAGGTTGAAGCCTCTGGAGTCCGCACAGGGGCCAGACAGAAGCCAGTACTTCCAGAGAGCCCAGGACTGGGGCTGCCTGTGAGCCCAGAGAGCTGCCGTGTGCCGTGGCGCAGCCTGACTGGGGGGTGAGACGTGTCAGGTAGTCAGGGAAGACGAGTGTGGGTTCGGAGCATGGGCTGATCACAGGCTGACTTAAGATCCTCCCTCACTAAACTCGACTCTTTCAAGGGCAAGAGCCATGCATGATCCTCTTTGTTCACATTCCCACACTCGCGCTGTCAGGCTGGCACAGCAGGGGTCTGATTGCACGAGTCTCTCTCAGACCCGAAGTTCTGAAGTCTCCGAGGTTCTGCCATGCTTAGCCCCAGCCCAGATGCTGCAGGATGGGCGTGAAGCGGGCCAGAAGGGTGCACGCACCTGTGCTGGGGACCCGTGACCTGCCGACCAGACAAGGGGCCCCTGTGCTGCCCAGACGCAAGGACCCTAATGAACAGTTAGCGTCACGAAGTGCTCGTCGCATACTGGATACTGGAGGAAGAGCTTTACGTTTTCATTACCCCATGTTAGAGATGAGGACCCCAGCACCAGAGCAGTCCGTGGCCAATCACACAGCCAGCGAGCAGCAGCACAGGTCTGAGCCCGGCTCTCTGACTCTGGAGCTGGCTCTTACGTGA